AAATTACTTGTAAAAAAGTCTGGTTCCACTGACTTACATTAAAAGTAAAGTATGTTTTTCCCTCTCCTGTAAAGTTACCATTTTGGAGATATGAGGTTTTGTTCAGACAACAGTGTTATGCTTTGTAAAACAAAACTGAGGTGGCCCAGCAAACCAGGACTGAACCAAACCATGAAATGGGCCATTTTGTCCTTTCAACAAAAATCTAACCACCTTGGGAGCCACAACATTTAATGTCCAGTATGTCTCAGTATGTGTTGATGTCCTTGTTTAGGCTAAACAATATAAACGAAAACACTGACTTACTCTGCTCTGCTTTAAGCTTTAGCTATAGCCGCTTTTCTTCCATCTCCGCCAGAAAACTTTTCCTCAAAAGTTGAATAGTTTCTTGTAAAATGTCTCTCAGCTTTCGGCTGTTTTACGAGGCTGAAGTCGCTTCTCGCTGAACTTTCTGGTTCCACCTTAAATTCTGACTGAGATGCATCGATAATCGTTTTATAATCGCATCACAGCCCTCTGAATCGCAATCAAATCGAATCGTGAGGTGCCCACCCCTAGTTGATAATATGAATAATTTTATCACTATTATATATTATTATTTTTTTTTTGTTGTGGCACTGAATCATTGCTCTTCTACCAACATACGAAATCACCCATCTCCTACATTTGTCATGTATTTTATTTTTTTTTTCTCCTTGAGGTTCACTTATAATGTTTGATTTTATGTATTAAAAATGGTCATAATTAATTTTTACATGACCAATTTCCAGCCTCTCTTTATCCCTCAGAATTAAACTGGCTGTTTTTGTTACTGTGCCTTTCGGACTGATATATGTAAATGAGCTCTGTTCTGATTGGCTGTCTGTGTATGTCTTCACTCAGAGCTGAAACACTCCTTATAATTTCAGTGTGAGTGGGCGGAGCCAAACTTTTGCAGGCTGAATAGATGGATTATGTAAATGAGATGGTTCTTATGACATCGTAGAATTCAAAACGGGCTGTTTTTGTAGCTTAGTTTCCATACAGTGAACAAGACTTCGTCCAAATTTTGACAATATGTGCGCATGTCTTCAAAAAAGTGAAAAAAAAATGTAGTTGGATCCTTTAATAAACTTTTGGATTATTAAAACAACAAAGCCCACACTTTCTCTTTCACGCCTACGGACACCCTCAGAAGCTCATGTACACACTGACTAACTAGTGAGCTTAATTTAACGATGGCCCGAGGACACTCTGCACCACTCCGCTGATTCTCCACGCTGTAGAAACAAACACACAGCCAAGCTAGGCCATTTAAAGAGCCTCTATCTGGCAACCGTTTTGCATACTTCAAAAGGAGCATAAAATTAAAAAAAAAACGTACATCCCCAAACTGTCGCCTGCAGCTATGAAGACGAAACCCCAATGCCAGCCAAGTGCACCTTCTCCCAGAGAACGCTTTCACTACGAATTAAAATCCTCCCCAAATAAGAGCACATGCGGCAAGAGACCCGGCTGTCGTCCAGCAAAACCCGCTCCAGCTGCGAGACACGGTCAGACAAAGTGGTCTGCATCCCTCTCGACAACAGTGAAGGAAAGAAAATCCTCATTTTATCGCTTGAAAGACTTTGTCCATCATCAAATCTATATTTGGAGAGAAGTTTCATTTGGAGTGGTGTACGAGGTGAGGGTGGGGGTGTAAAGCAAACAGAGGGTCTCTTAAGGAAACAAAGAGTGGGCGCAAGAAAGAGGAGAATCTGGAGGAAGGGCAGATTTTGGTGGACGAGAAAGAATGGTGTGAGATACTCACTGCAAGATGACAGCCTCAGGGATTCAGCAATTTAAGGTCATCCGCAAGACACCAAAGATTCGCTTTGAGAATGGGAGCAAGAACATGGTTCGTGGCTTGGATATAGAGCTCTGAGAAACATCTACAATCAGTACATTCACAATACGAGCATCCTGTGAATAACTCTGAAACAAACAGTCAATGTGTCTCGCCAAAATTCTCGCCTTTAGATGTAAACATGGCGGTTCTAATCTTCGGGTCACGCATATGTAAGCATTACCCTCACCAATCACGAGGCTGATGCAGTTTGTCCCACTCAGACAGCTAAACTGTGTTCAAGTCAGAGAAACTAACCGAAAAGGCTAATAACCAAGTGGAAGCTAACCTAGCAAACATGATCCAGCTCAAATAAACAAACACTAAACATAGAAAACGTTATTAACATCAAATAACAAACATTACTCACTGTCGCCCTGTAAAGGCGTCAATAACAAACATCAAATAAACAAACAAACGTTACTCACCGTCACCCTCTAAAGGTGTTATTAACAAACATCAAATAAACAAACATCACTCACTGCCGCCCTTTAAATGTGTTAACATCGGATTAACAAATGTTACTACCCGCCGCCCTCTAAAGGTGTTAATGAACATCAAATAAACAAAAGTTACTCACCGACGCCCTCTAAAGGCGTTAATGAACATCAAATAAACAAAAGTTACTCACTGCCGCTCTCTAAAGTCATTAATAACAAACATCAGACAAACAAACGTTACTCACTGCTGCCCTCTAAAGGTGTTATTAACTAAGATCAAATAAGCAAATGGTACTCACTGCCACCCTCTAAAGGTGTTATTAATAAAAATCAAATAAACAAACATCACTCACCGTCGCCCTCTAAAGGTGTTATTAACAAACAACAAATGTTACTCGCCGTCGCCCTCTAAAGGTGCTATTACATACATACATCATCTAAACTGCTTATCCTTCTGGGTCACGGTGGGGTGCTGGAGCCTATCCCAGCTGTCATTGGGCGGAAGGCAGGCCTGGACAGGTCGCCAGTCCATCGCAGCGCAGACAGACAGACAGATTCACACACTCACTCACACCTAGGGGCAATTTAGCATGTCCAATTAGCTTAACTGCGTGTTTTTGGACTGTGGGAGGAAACCGGAGTACCCGGAGGAAACCCACGCAGACACGGGGAGAACATGCAAACTCCACACAGAACTGACCCTGGTCACCCGGCTGGGAATCAAACCCAGGCCATTCTCGCTGTGAGGCAACAGCACTACCCACTGCGCCACCGTGCTGCCCAAGGTGCTATTAACAAACATCAAATAAACAAACGTTACTCACCATTGCCCTCTAAAGGTGCTGTTAACAAACATCAAATAAACAAACATTACGCGCCGTCGCCCTCTAAATGCGTTGACACATGTATGTAATAACTGTGACAGGCCTAGTGTAGACGTTAAAAAAAAAAAAAATTCTTTAAAGGTTATTTGTTTTTATGTATGTGAATGCTGCAATATAAAACAGCAGGCATTAGTAAGAGCTCAGGCTTGGGAAAGAGAGGGCTGCCTCCATATATCATCACAGCACGACAGCTGCAACACTGAGCACAAAGTCACCACTGAGGTCACTAGAGCATCAGCATGAACTTCAGCTATTGTTTTACCATGTATGTGTGTGTGTGTGTGTGTGTGTGTGTGTGTGTGTGTGTGGGCACAGTTTTTTGGTCAAAAGACGATCATATATATTTTCATATACCTAAACATTGACATTATCCATGTTGCACATATTGAATTATAAACAGAGTTATATCTGTTTATGTAGAGCTGCATACACTGAACACAAATACTAAAACACTCTACAAATGACACAAAAATAACTTTTTTGACCAAGAGTGGCTTTTAATGATCACTCCAAATGTTACAGGGGAATTCCACCAATTTTTCAAAAATGCTGCATAATTCAGTGGTAAAGATGTAAACAAAGTAATTCAGAGTGGTTTGGTGTGAAATGCTCCATTCTGAAGACACAGAGTTGTTCACAGTGGTGGTGATAGGAACCAGACGTCCACCACTAAAAGCTCCCTCACATAAAGTTATTACATGAAATGATTATGAATTCACTGCCTGATGTTTGAAACATTGTTTTATTTTTTAAACAACAACATTTTTTAAACAACAATCATATTCCTTAAATCCATTAAATCCGAGGTATAAGGCAAAATTCCTTAAATCCATTAAATCCGAGGTATAAGGCAAAATTCCTTAAATCCATCAAATCCGAGGTATAAGGCAAAATAGTCCCCAAAGAAAACTTTTTGCTATTCACTCTGAACAGATGTTTTGGTTCTCAAACACTGAATTATGCAGAAATTTTGAAAATTCTGAGGAATTCCCCTTTAAGACAGTGTTGAAATGATACTTGGGTCCAGTTCAAATATTTCTGATCACACAGTGGAGTTTTAAGTTACAGAAAGGCAGACTTTTTATACTACTAGTACTGCTACTACTTCTAACAACAACAACAACAACAACAACATAATAATAATAATAACTTTCATTTTGTCTGAGCAGTTCACAAAAGCTTGCCAAACATCAAAGACTATCTGAAATATTGGTTTCATTATGTTTATTTTGAATTACGTATGGTCCCATATATTCTTAATTTTAGCGTTTTATTCACATATGCAAAGGTTTGCGCACCCCTGCTCAAATTTCATGTTGTTGACTGAGTGAACACACTTCTGCACATTTTAACACACAGTTCCTGTTTATTTACTGAATTTAAAATGTTAGGGGGAAAAAAATAAAGCATAAAACGTGGCCTGTGCAAAAGTTATGGCACACTTGATATTTTATGTTCTTCCAGTATGTAAAAGCTCAGCAAGTAAATAGAAGCTGTGCGCTAAAATGAGCAGAAATATGCCATATTTGAGTTCCCTGTGGATGATGTGTTCACCTACTCTCACTTCTCAAATCAACACAACACGCAATTTGACCAGGGTGTTTTCAAACTTTTATATCCAACTGCATTTTAGTATTTTTATCATTTTATTTATTCCTATACTTCCACTATAATCACACTAAACAAACGGGCTCCGTGCTGTCTGTTACCCCTGATAACCCTGAGCAGATGAATCCACCTGTTCAGAAGCCTCCAGCCTGTGAAGCCCGCGGTCAGTGCAGCGTGTGGAACCCACCAGCCCCTCAGACTTACCTCCCCTCCGTGGCCGTCGAAGATCCCGAATATGGACGGGTGGGTCTTGTTGAGCAGGTCGGTGAGCACCTCGAAGCGGTCCTCCATGTGCTCCCTCCGGCCCTGGATGGCGTACACGGCCACGTTGTTGCTCTTGAACTCCCAGGTTTTGGAGAACTCCGCGTCCAGCACGTCGACCCCCCCGAATTTGTCGTTCTGCATGATCTCGGCCACCTTCCCCTTCACCATCTTCACGGCGTCCCGGCTCGACTTGACGATGGTCTTCACCTCGTCCGTGTGGAAGAAGTAGCTCCACAGAGCCAGGCTGATGCACAGCAGGAACAAGGTCTCCGGTCTTAGCAAGAAATAACGCATGATCCGGCCCAGGAGAGACAGCAGGGTCATCGTATCTCCGAGCATTTAGCCACACACGCACTGAGCCCCCCCACCCCACACCGCCGCCGCCGCCGCCGCCGCCGCCGCTGCTGCTGACCTGCTGGCTGGCTGCTTCTGCTCCACCAGCGCGTCTCAGTCCATCTTCGACCGCAAACGAGCTGCTAAAAAACTCTCTTCCTAAAAGATCGAGCGCATTATCTAACGTCCACCTCCGGGGCCACAGAGCAGGAGCGCTGCTGCCTGTCCGGCTCTCCCGCCTTCCTGTCCTTCCTGTGGCGCAAATAAGAAGCTGGAGCTGCAGAGACGAAGTGCTCCCACCGCACACAACACTGCCTCTCCTTCCATAGCACAGAGACGCAAATGTCAGCCGGAGGGAAATAAACCCTCCTCTCCGGTTCACAACAGTGACACACACCGTCCTGAAGTGTGAGCACACTTCACTTCACTTCACTTCACCAGAGCTGCCTCTGCACTGGGACTGAGCAAACATTCCAACTGTTTTGTAAAATTATTTATAATATTATATATTATAAGACAAAAAGTTTGAGCAACCCATGTATGTATATATATATATATATATATATATATATATCAATTATTATTAAATGGTTAAGATGTAACCAAAGTCATTCAGAGTGGTTTGGTGTGAAACGCTCTGTTCTAGAGAACCTTACCGAGTCTCTCATAAAAAGTGACTACGTTATATTGTTACAAATACGCTGCCTGATGTCAGAGACACTGTTTTAGTAAAGTTTCTAGGTAAGTATTTGGCCTAAAACATAGATTTTTAAAAACCCTTTACAGTGGAATGGAATGGGGTACATGCAGGGCATTGTAAGGCAACCTAGTCCCCAAAGAAAACGTATTTCTTCAGATTTATCACTATTTTACCATCATCATCAACATTCCCTATAAAACTCAGAAGACACGTGTAGGTTCACTGGTGGTTTTGTATTGTAAATAAAAATGGCTCTATTTGTGTTGTAGTCATGGCAACCCCTGGTTCCTATGACCACCCCTGTAAAGAGCCACTGTAAAGAGTCTCTACAATCAACACCAAACCACTCTGAATGACTCTGTTTACATCTCAACCTCTGAATTATACAAAGAAAATTTAAACTGTCTGGCTTGAGTGGTATATAACTTCATGATATATTATAAGTTATTTACAGCTTCTGTAGCTCAGCATTGCAGCCTCAACCTCATTGTGTTTCCGCCTACTGGTGCTCTCTCACTACAATATTCAGCATGCAGTACACAAATACATCACACAAAACTGACAATTTTTACAGAAAACATTGATCTCAAGGCTAATTCTACTACTTAGCATTAGCATATAGCACTAATTGGTCGTCTAATTACATATTCATATATGTAGGGCGGCACGGTAGCAAAGTGTCGCCTCACAGCAAGGAGTTCCTGGGTTCGATTCCCCGGCCGGGCGACCAGGGTCCTTTCTGTGTGGAGTTTGCATGTTCTCCCCGTGTCTGTGTGGGTTAGGGTCCAGTGACCCAGAAGGAGTAGAGTTAATATTAACTCTAAAGTGTTAATAATGTGAAATGTCTTATTCCTGTGCAGCTTCTACATTTTTCCCCAAAAGTAAATTAATAAAGGATACTTAAGGCCTCAACAAAAACCTTTCCTCCTATTTGGGCTAGTTTAGCCGAAATAGCATTGATCAATAGAATGGGACACGCTGAAGCAGCTGCACATGAGCCTAAGGTCTCCATGGCCAATGCCAAGTGTGGGCTAGAGGTGTATAAAGCCCCCCAGCATTGGGCTGTGGTGCAGTGGAACTGTGTTCTCTGGAGTGATGGAGCTCCATCTAGTACCTTTGGGATAAGTTGGAGTGATCCAGAACTGATCATCCAACATCAGTACCTGACCTCACTATTGCTGAATCAAATCCTCACAGCAATGTTCCAACATCTAGTGTAAAGCCTTCCCAGAAGAGTAGAGCCTGTCACTGTAGTGAAGGGGGAAAACCTCCCTATTAATACCCTTCATTTCAGAAGAAACGCTGGATCAGAATGTGTCTACAAACTTTTGTAGATAAGTTATACTTTTAAAAGATTTGAAAATGTTATTGTCTGAAATGTTTGAAATATAAGGTAGGTGCTCTCCCATGTAAAGGAGTCCAGTCATTTTATTACCAACAGAAAGAAATTAGAACTTCTTCAGAACTTCTGTCTCCTATTCTTAGAGAGACACTCTGGCCAAAATAAACAAAATAAACATGGCTACATGTGCTGTAAACATGCCTACTCACACTCTACACTCTTAAAAAAGATGGTTCTGCAAGGGTTCTTTAGTGAAGACAATGGTTCTATTTACAACCATGGGATCTCTACAAAACCATGTCCATGCTTGAATGGTTATAGCACCAGAAAGGGTCCTTCTGTTGTTATCATGTCAAGCTTGTATAAAATAGAAGTGCTATATAGAACAATTTTCAAAAAGGTTCTGTATAGAACCATATACAACATATTCTCCAGCAATCTGAAGAACCGTTTCACCATGCAAAGAACCATATAAGCATGAAAGGACCAGAGGATGACCAACACAACCTGTCCTTAAAACATGGTTCTAAACCAGCACCCTTTACTAAAGAACCCTTAAAGAATCTTTCATAGGTGTGTACAGAGGTGCCTCAGTAGTGTCTAGAGTGAGATTTTCTGGGTTAAACATAAGGAAACACCCCTTCTGATGATGTATCTTGAGGGTAGGAGGAACTTCTGAAAATCTGAAAGTGCTTTGAGGTGGACACTGGACACGTCAGACTGTTTGAAATGGGTTTTTTAGACTAGTTTGCTATAACTAGCTATAACTGTTGGGAAGCTGATTTTGTTCTTTTCTTATTGTAGGTATACAACAACATAACATACCACAAGTAACAGCCAAGGGTGTACTTACAATGTACATTAAATAAACGATTTTGTTCTGTAAGCCTCTACTCGAGCGTCTGTTTGACGCAATGCATGCTGGTTATTGTAGTGAGACAACACTGAAAACACAAACAAGAAACAAAATCATTTCTGTCAAACCAATGAGATCGAGAGCTGCAACGTTGAGCTATAAAATATTACATTACACGACAGAAAACATATTAAATGCTGATTTTAGGCCTTTAAAACATAAGAAAGTCATGTATTGACAATTCTTATTAGGCTTTTACTGTTTGTTTTCTTTTTTTCTGAAATTATCTCCGCCCTATATAGAGTTATTATTATGCTCCACTATTTTATTATGAATAAATGGCATCAAAAATAAGAAATTATATAAAATAATTTCAGACAGAAAGTTCAATCCAGTCAGGCGAAGATCGGGCTGCTGTCGGGGTCCTTTGGCTTGACACTCCGCTTTACGTCACCAGACGGAGGAACGCACGTGTGGGTGAAATTTGTCTCGTTGTCGGATTAAATTTTATTTTCTTTTTCAGATAAAATTACTGTCCGTCGACGAGGATGTTCGGAACAACACTTTGATTTAGCCAGCGAACATTTACCGTCGTTTATATCCTCTACAGCGGCTTAAAAAGCACCGCAAGGTGAGTAAGTGAAGTTATGTTGCTACAGTTGATTAGCATCGGCGCGAGCCTCTGAAAAATACATATAAATAATATCGATCTTTAATATTTTAAGAAACAGTTTATTTAGAGGACTCACTGTCTATTTTATCAGCTCCACTTACTATATAGGTGCACTTTGTAGTTCTACAGTTACAGACTGTAGTCCATCTGTTTCTCTGCATACTTTGTTAGCCCCCATTTACCCTGTTCTTCAGTGGTCTGGACCCCCATGGACCCTCACAGAGCAGGTACTATTTGGGTGGTGGATCATTCTCAGCACTGCAGTAACACTGACGTGGTGGTGGTGTGTTAGTGTGTGTTGTGCCGGCACGAGTGGATCAGACACAGCAGTGGTGCTGGAGTTGGTCATAATGTTGTTCCTAGTCGGTGTATATGGTCAGGGGAGCTGATAAAATGGACTAAGAGTGTGGAAACACGGAGGTGGTTTAATTGTTATATTTCCTTGAGGTGGATCCTTTGGGTGCATGTTGCTCTCTTTGAGGTGGAATTGGAAATTTGAATAAAAAGCTATGAAGCACAAAGCTGAAAAAAGAAAATGTGTATTTTTGTGTCATTTTGCGTGATGGTAGTTTATTCTGTGCCTGAAAACTCTTTTCTTTTTTCATAGTCATGGAATACATGCATGCCCCAGCCACAAGCAGTCAAGGGAATATGTGAGTATTGCAGGTCAATAATGACCATCACGCATGAGTTTGGTTGGGCGATGTTTCGATCTTTTGGCCACATCACAGTTAGGGGTTGGGCGATAAAAGGGTACTAAGTTATACCACAATTTTTAAAAAGTAATGCTGGATTTTCGGAATTATTCAGTGTTAAATTTCTATTCCACGTCTGATCGGCAAGATAAACACATTCCATTCAAAACAACACGCTGCGCCTCTGATGTTCTAATCAAAACACTGTCTCTATCTCAAATGGCTCCCTGCTCCCTACATACTGCACCACATATAGTGGCCCCTGCACCCACAAAGTGCATCACATGTCTAATAAATAGCCCTCTGAGATTCAGCCATGTGTCCACAGTTCCATACTGGACAAACAGTGCACTATTTTGTTGCAGAAGCCAGAACTTGGTGCACTACACAGGAAGGATGGCGCCGTTTAAGATTCAGCCACTGACAAACTGCTACAACAGCTTTGCTAACTGAAGCTTAAGAGCAGGCTGTCTACAGACAAAAAAACACTTTATTTATTTATACCTCGCAATTCAACTCAGTCAAATGGAGCAAAGTCATCATACATGGATGATGGTGCTGCAAATGTGGACTTTTTTTGCCTTCATGTAGGAGCGGTGGTTGTGATTGCCTGTGGTTTTGGGTGCATCTTTGTGAAATCGGTTCGTGAGGCTGTTCAGACTGTAAGACAAGCAACCAAAATTTCTGTCAGAAATCCATCCGATCGTCCGACTGCTCAATCGGAGCTTGTTTGGGCAGTTAATTGGGCATCGTTTCCCCTCTTACACTGCACAACAAACGACAGCCGATGAAGCTGAAGTTTGGCCTGATCATGAAATTCAGTCAGCTCCAACCAAATTGGGCTCAAAAACGGGCTAAAATCGCACAGTGTACGCCTGGCTTAATTCAACACTACTGTCTCTCTGTAGCCTTTGCTGCACATGTGGCATCCCCATTCCTCCAAATCCAGCCAACATGTGTGTCTCCTGCCTGAGGAACCAAGTGGACATCTCTGAGGGAATCCCAAAGCAAGTCTCTGTGCATTTCTGCAAGCAGTGTGAACGGTACTAAATTTGTTTTCTACTTTTCATTTCTTTTTCTCTTTTGGTAAACAGCCCATATCATGATAACTAAATTTCCTTGCTTTTTAAAAGGAGCATCTAAAGTAGTATGTGAACAGGGTTAAAGTTTTCAGAACATGCCTTTCACTCCATACAGTCTAAATCCAGACATTAAGCAGCAAAAACAGTTTTGAACTTGTTGTTTCTATGATGTCACGGAAACCAATACATATACACACATCCATCTATTCAGCCTGTAGCAGTTCAGCCCCACCCATCAACACTGAATATAAAAGTAATGTTTCAGCCTGAGCTGTTTTCTGAATGGATATAAGTTACATGTATCAGTCTGAAAAGGACAATACCCAACATTTTTCTTGTATTTTATTTTATTTGTTTTAAAGTACCAAAAAATCTTTTTTACAGGACCATATTTTCAATTTCTCTTGTCTTTTTTTAATTAACAGGCTGTTTTTTGTTACTGTGCCTTCAAGACATATGTAAATAAGCCTCTGTTCTGGTTGACTTTGACTGCTAGGAAAATGGTCATCTGAAAATAAACTTTGTTACAAAACGTACAAATGTTATACGTGGACCTGAGGGAATGGAATACAAGAAAAATGTTTAATGTGGGCCTTTTACATACAGCCCTGTTAGATGAGAAGAATTTAATGAAAGCGTGGAAGGATTGAGTTGCTGGAGGCGTTGGGCAGCACTGATGGATCCGACAAAGAAACACCACGTTATCCAAAGTCATTTTGCTTGTTTTGAAAATTTGCAAATTCTCTCGAGTCTGTCAGATATGACATGTTTCGGAATGATCCAGTTAATTAATTCTTAGCCGACTACAAGGAAGTCAGCCCTGAGCGTTTTGAAATACTGACAGATTACATTGTAAGGGAGAAAGCTAATGTAAATGCTAATGCAAAGACTAAAGCCTGTGCATGTACAAGTTGAGGTTAATGGCCTTATATGCCATACACATTTCAGTTTGTGGTAGTTTTAGTGTTTTGTGAGGTGAATCAACTCTTTTGCCTGACTGACAGTTTCCCTTATCTGTTCCAATAGGTACCTGCAGCCCCCAGGAACTTGGGTTCAGTGTGCTCTAGAGTCCAGAGAGCTGCTCGCTCTGTGTCTGAAGAAACTTAAGAGCTCAATGACTAAGGTAAGAAACTCAGAAACAAGCTCACCATCTAGCACCTGTAGCATTCCCTGTGCTGTGTTTGTCTCACTAACCCATGTTTCTTATTCTGCTTAGGTCCGGCTCATAGATGCAGGGTTCTTATGGACGGAACCTCATTCTAAAAGAATCAAGATGAAGCTGACTATACAGAAAGAGGTGATTTAGCAGGCTGTTAACCCACCAGTGAAGCAGCCTCATAATCTCCCCCACTGTTCAGAAGTTTGGAATCGCTATTTTAAATCCTAATTTAAGTCCTAATTCTGTTGCAGATATGTGTATAAAATAATTCTAATATGTTTGATTCTATAGACTTAAGTCAACTTGTAGGAATCTGGGAAAATGAAGAAGTTTTCCATGATGAATGAAGTTGCAGCTGATTCTATAATAACTGAGAAAGCAATATAGCATGAAGAATTAACTTGTAATCCAGTTAATATCCCGAACAATTACAGTTTATTATTAAGTAACATTTACAGTATTTTGGGCGACGGAAGACACGTTTTGGTGTGTAGTTTAGGGCTGAATGGTTCATGGAAAACATCTAATTGTGATTTTTATGACCAATATTGTGTCTGATTGTAAATTGCGATTATTGTCTACAAAAGATAATCCAGGCCTGTTATTTTGGTCAAGACAACTAGAACATCCACTTTTTTCTGACTTAAGGTTGTTTGGTTGCTTCTGATTGGTCTAAGACATCTACAGGAAGTTTGCAGTCTCTGTTGTTAGGTTAAATTTCCCCACTTAAAGCTTAAGAGGTCATTGAAAATATAGACTAAAAATAGAGTTGAAGCTCTTGCAATCTGAAAATGACACGCTTAAATTGCCATTTCTATATAAAAGATTAATCTTTCAGCCCTACTCTAGTTTAAAACGGTCCAGACTACAGTTTATAAGTTCTAATTGAACACATTTGTTATATGATAATGGATTCCAGACTTTTGAACGTTAACACATGCTGTGAAATCTTGAGTTTGTTGGTCCAGTAGTCACTGTGTGGTCTCTCTGTAGGTCATGAATGGGGCGATCCTACAGCAGGTCTTTGTGGTGGAGTTTGTGATACAGCCACAGATGTGCGATGACTGCCATCGAGTTGAAGCCAAAGACTACTGGAAGGCAGTTGTGCAAGTCAGACAGAAAGTAAGGACCTGTTATACATAGCTTTGTTTGTCTGAGCTTGAGCTGTATCTTTTGTTAGATAGGAATGTTTAGTATTACAGCTTGGAAGCCACATAGCAAACCAGCCACTTCAGGCGTTAATAGTTGCACATGAAAAAGTGCCGTTATTTATATGGCAGATAATCGTCAGCCGAAATTTCCCACACAGCACTGAAAAGGAAATGTAGTCCAAAACCAGGGATGTGCTTGAGTACTCAGGTCACTGTTTGAGGTGCCAGTATTTGAAAACTAAAATCAGTGTTCAGGTACTTGTTGCGTTTTATTGCAAGAAGAGCGAGAAAACATACAGACTAACAACTCTGCTTTTATTTGCTGAGAGGGCAGAGAGAGCACGACTGTGTTGCTAACTAGACAACAACAACTCCGGCAGGTGTTAGATGGATCAAGAAACAATGGCAATATGTTACACTGGCAAATAACATGTTGACACATCATCCACTGAGGAGAAAATACCTTGTGTAGAAAATGATTTTTTCATCAGCATCCAATGTATTAGCTTGGTTAGCTCGTTAGCTCATCTGAAGTAGCAGCCTTCCTTACTTATCCTGCACAAAAACCTAGATCAGAGATCACTAATAGGCAGACCGAGGTCCGAGTCCAGACCTAGACGCCGTCCTATGCGGACCTGGACCTATAACCAGTAAACCATGGAGAATTATTTAGTTCCGACGGATGGTCCTATTTTGATCAGCGTAACTTTTCTAGCCTTTACGGTTTCGCTTTAGTGGCCCAGGAAACTCACGCAATCCCAGTCATGTGCGTTGTAAATGTCACGTGATACTACTCAGCCAATCAGATCTGTGCATTACGATGCATGCTGAGACTCGAGTGAGTGATGTACACACGGGGAGGGACGAGAGAAACAGAAGTCGGAGAAGAAAGTGAGTCAGAGTCATGTCGTGCTCTAAAAAGAGAAAACTGACGATAAATGTTGTTAATATTATTGAATTGTACTTTATTTGATTTGACATTCAGTTGACTGAATAAGATGTTTATATAACTACTAGGCTACTTCAGGAAACAGTATATGGCACTGAATAATGATCCCTATTAGACATTATGATGTTCCGGACCTTTGCTTGAGGAAATTTTCTCTAACTCGACCTCATTGAATTTTAATTAAATACCCCTGACCTCGATGTTTTTGAATATGTTTTGCATGCTGCAGTGTTTTTGTGCAATACCCGTAACCCGGATATCCCGTTCCTGAACTCTTACAGATACTCGAACATCAAAAATAGTTGCTGATCCTTCTCCAAGACTTAATCAGTGTCCAGGAACCTGAAGCATAATGAATCAGTGCAGAAGCAGTTGTAAACATGACACAGTTAGCTTGACCTGCTTTGTTTGCCAGAACTTTCAGGATGGGAGGCTGTTGTTATTGTGGGCCTACTTTAACAGTGTCTGAGATTATACTGCCTTACATACACTATCAGTTTTGTGAAGCTACCTGAGCTATGTGAAGGTGTAATGAGCTTTGCTTATGCTTTTTTTTCCCCCCTTTCCTTTTTCTTGTATAGACTGTTCACAAGAAGACGTTTTATTACTTGGAACAGCTGATTCTGAAGCACAAGGTGCACCAGAACACTCTTCGCATCAAGGAGATTCATGGTATATTTTGTTTTTTTAATGAAATATAAAATCATTCTCATATTCCATAAGACAGACATTGATGCTGATTCTTCTAAATTAGAAATCAGCTCTTTGAAAATTGAGCTGCAAACACATTTAGACATGAGCACAATGGTGAATTGCATTAGTGTCCAACAAAAATATGCTGTCTCAGGTATGATCGTGGTTTGTACTTCCTAAAACCTTATGCATCTGAATGTGTAGCCACCACCCTGTTTGGAATGATAAGAATTTCTCACTCTATTACATGGAAATGGCCATTGCACTTTCTACTGACTGTCTTTTTTATTATAATAAACTGGTGTTGCAGGCTCAAAGTGGGCAGATAAACTGATTTGCTGTCTTGTTTTCTAGTTGTTTATTATTAGGGGTGGGCTGTATGACAGTATATACTGTTATTGTGAAAATTGTCACATTACGCCACAACACGCTTTTCTGAACATATTGTGAATATTGTCAGTACTTAGAGTTCTATATAACACAGTATGTAAAATATAGTTTTACTAATTGGGCTTCTTTTGTCTGTTGTATATTATAAATCCTCAAAAAAAACCCAAATGTTGTGATACGTATCATGTATCGTAAAAAAAAATGTTGAAGTATTATGATACTAAATTTTTGCGAAATTGCCCACCCCTTCTATCAATATGTATCTTCTCCCAAAGACAGAAACTGCTCAGGCTCAAAACATTACTCATCATGCTCTGTAAAGGTGTTACAGCACTGGTCAGAGGTTTATTTAACTTATATTGTTTTTGTTAGACTTATGATTTCTAAGAAATTATTTTTAATTTCATTTACCTCAAGCAAACAAACAAAAATGTTATGTTATAACATATTACGTTAGTTATGTTCTAATTTCTGTTCAGAACTGTAGCCTTAACTGTATATTAAGCATCCAACCTCCAGCTCTGTGGTTAATTAAACCAGTTAGACCTTAACATTTCTAACATAAGCTAACCCAGGGTTCCTGCACTGTTTTAAAAATCAAATTCTGTACTTTTTAAAACCTTTTTATAACCTCAGCATGGCAGTAATACTACCATTTTCACCACATCATGGTGCACACGAGATTACACAATCCTTACATTGTCCTTACATACCTGACCCCTTAAAATATGCCTGTACATTCCTAAATTGACATCATGTATTGTAATTTCAGAGACAGTTTCAAGATTTTGCAAGACATATTAAGGATCTAAGAATTAGCCCTGTTGGTCACAGTAGTTTGTTTGGCTCACCTGTCCCTTTAAGACCAGCCCAGTATTCCAGATCTGCCGAACTGTTCTCTCAGCAGTTCCTTCTCGCTATTTTTGGAACAGTGGAAAGACCTCAGAAATTTCAGCTGCACGACTCTCGGCTGATAATCAAGGCAGTGATGCAGAAGCTGAGGTCACGGGTGGGAAAGTAGATTTAAAGCTCTGAAAGCATGACATGTGGCGGCCATATTGGACGCCCCTCCATCTGGCCTGCGTTACAGGGGAATGTTCTGTGCTGTGTTGCGTTGGAAGCACGACAGTTGGCAGATTGACTGATTTACAACTCTATTTTTAATAGCTTCCTTTTGTATACTCTTTTTTTTAGATGGTATTGATTTTTACTATGGCTCCAAGCAGCATGCCCAGAAGATGGTGGATTTTCTACAGTGCACCGTCCCCTGCAGGTATGAAGTGAACCCTACCTGTTCCCCCTCACAAAAATGTGTCAGGAGTAGACGGTACAAAAAAAATGAATTAGGGTTCACCTGATTGAATGGAATTCCACTCAACATGTGCATTCAATCAGCATATGCGCTCTGTAATAAATCCTGCTTTTTTTTCCATTTTGGAAAAACACATTTTTCTGCTGTATTTTGTTGATTATGAAACTAATGAATTACCATATCTTTGTTCTGCAGATCAAAGGCTTCCCAGCGCCTCATCTCTCATGATGTACACTCAAACACCTACAACTACAAAAGCACCTTCTCGGTGGAGATTGTACCCATCTGTAAGGTATGCATCACTTACAAAACCTTCTTAGCAGAGTTCTTACACATGCAGGCTTTAGAGTTCAGCATCCAACACTAATTTATGGCCTGTAGAGATGGGAGCGTTATCATTCCTGCCACTGATGCAATTGGGTGGGTGTGTGTGAGTGCAGCCAGGTTTCCATTCAAGCTGTTAAATTATATTTAAGCGGATAACTGTAATGTTGCATGATTTTTCCATCAGCTCTGTACAAGAGAGTCAAACTTTTCTGATAGGTATGTAAATGATTAGCAGATAAATGTTGTTTAACCTTTTCAACTTCTTGAGACCACCGGTGGTTCCAAAACGCACTTCATCATATTCTTCATAACTTTTATATTTCATAAGCTACATTCAAAAGGTGGGTGTCATATGAGAGCTGTAACTGTCTTCTTTCCAGTCAAATAGATGTGAAATGTAATTTTAAACTCTTATAATAAAAGAAGCTGAACTCAAAATTTTTTTGTCTACTGAAAGTCGACCCATTTTTCCACAAATCTGGGCTATAAACGATAAGCAGATGGCGTCTCTTCAGTGATCTGCTCTGTAAAAGTTTTTATAAAATAATACAAAGAGCGTCTAAGATTTGTGGCTTTCAGCAGTAAATTGTAAGCATACAGCAATATGTGTATGATCATAAACCACATTTTCTGTTGATTTGAGGGGAGCCTTTAAAAAAATAAATAAATAAAATAAAAATGTACATTTATTTCATGCAGTTACTGAATAATTTGCCTTACAGTTTGGTCATGTAAATTCAGATGGAAAAACCAAAATATACCCTGGTCAATAAGAGGTTAAGGACAAATAAACAAGTGTTCAACCAGTGTATTTCATTTTCCTATAAACAGCAGTTCTTATTTGAAAAGTCAGGCTTATTACTCAAGTAGAGGAATGTTTAAAAATTTTACACAGTGAGGCTGCAATAGGCAACTGGTTCTGGTAGATAGGCCTACTTAAAAAATGAAGCATTCAGCTAAAAATAGGGCTGTTTACTTCTGTTTACTTCATCCACATGCTGATGCCTGACCCCACCTCTCAGAACTGCATACCATGTTAAATGGTCCATACGAGGAACCCTTTAAGATAAAAAACTTGGGCAAATTCAGTTATTTGCGCTTGTAAGTTTGCATTTATAAAGTATTTAACAGTGACTCTGCCAGTCAGCTTTCAGGACTGGAACTTTGCGTTTTGTAGTTGATATTTTGATGGGTTGCCGGGTGATTTGCTGTCAAACAAGTTAAGTTTTGTCCCTACAATCTACATCATGTTAGTAAAATTACTTCTGAGAAAAAGGAATGAGTTTACAGGGAAGTCATTTATGTGGAGCAGCCCCTTCGCTTTGTAATGGTCAAATACCCTGATTATCTTGATTCAGATTGATCTAACGACCAAGCCAGTTAATTTGTTCTGATCCATTTAAATAAATATGTCTATTCGTAATGCAATTACAGAAGGGGACGTGAATAAACACCACGAAAATGCTGAATATTCTGAGATGATTTTGGTGCATACTCGATGTGATACTTTTATATTATTTATAATTTATTTATTTATATTTTACTTTTATAATATTTATTTATTTATTTAATTTTTTTTTGGGTGGGGGGAGATTTGGCCATGCTCTTTGTACTGTGAAAAAACAAGGCAGAAATTCTATCAAAAAGTAATCATTTGCTTTACATGAAGCAGGCAAACTGTAACTTTTTACAGGCGAATGAAAGATTTCTCAGTCTCATTCAGGGACTAAAATGTTAAGCTGTTTCACACAGCTCAGATATCCATAACTCTGTCTGAGCTGCTTTTGGAAATGCAGCTCCACATGAGACAAAACAAGTGGGCTGAATGTCTTCAAGTTCAAATACTATTTTCTTTGCTCCTCACAGATGAGACAAGTAGTGACACTGGACAGGCTACTTTTCATTTGGGAAAAGCGAAACTGGCGTAAATAACTTCACCACCTCATTCGGAAGCTGAAACTTTAATTGCTTCCACACTGGCTGTAATTTGATGTTCGTAGCCCAATCTGAGCCCTGTTTGAGCTGCTTTTGGCGTTTCTGTTCCTCTTGACATTCCATTTGCTGGAAAACAGCTGACCCGTCATCTTGGTTGTCGTCATGCTAGCATCAGAGACTACCATGATTGGTCACAGAGTTCATGTCATAAAATCTTAAAGGGTGAATAAGATGTCACATTTTCACCATCTAAAAAATTGTGTTTGGCAAACAAGATACCGTCAGTTTGACGAGTGATCCAATTAATTTATTGTAGTATGAATAAATTGCACAAATAAATCGTGCTCAGTGTGTAAGGCCTTTTAGACTGCATAGTTTGGATGGGGGACACTAAAATTGCTTTGTCATGTCCTGTATACTACTGTCACTGTCATTACCCGTGAAATGACCATTCTGGGCCCGTCCTGTTACTCTGTGTAACTCAATTGTTTTGAATGAATATATGTGTCTTTCTCAGGACAATGTGGTGTGTCTGTCACCTCGTCTGGCTCAGAGTCTGGGGAACATGGGCCAGGTGTGCGTGTGCATCCATGTGACCAGCACTGTCCACCTCATCGACCCAAACACCCTGCAGCGTGAGTATTGCTGGCATTCTTGGCCGCACACAGCATCTGGTTGGATTGCAGGTTTAGTTGACTTGAATAAACTTGGCACATAAATGGAATAATAACATGTGTGACTGATTCAGGGTTAGAGGGAGTTAAACAACAAGAGCAAGAAAAAAGCAACAAATGTGGGTCTGCAGTCCTTTTATTTTTAATCATATTGCATAAGGGTGTCACTATTACATGAGTAATAAAATAGCGTACTGTTTATTTTGATGTCTTGTCAAGTAATAAAAATAGATGAATAAACCAAGCATATAAAGATCCCAGTATGCTTTACTGGAAAAAAGACAAAGGCTTTTAAAACCATTTCATTAAAGGGCTCGTATCATGTTCACTTTTTTAAATGAGTTTGGTCCAGTGTGTAAGTAGTCTTAGTTTCAAAATATACAATTAGAGCCCGACAGATAGATCGGTATTGGCCATATCATTTATAACGGCCAATAAACAAAGAAACGGAGAGGCGGAAGACAGATCCTTCCAACCAGGGTCCGAGTGTTGTCGTTGCATAGTTCATCAGAGGGCGCTCTGCAGCTTCACTGTTGGCAATACACGTTTGGAACACCACGAATCACAACAGTCAGCTGACCCGAGTCAAGCAGAGTAACTTTACCCCATGAAAGAGGGTATCAGTGTTCATAGTAAGTGGATAATTGTCATGTGAAATACGTTACCTAAATAATAATAAAAATATCCCCATCACTTCTCCTCTTAGCTTAAACAAGCCTGTCAACATTCGTGTCGGCTGTGCCTGCTTTTTACTGCAGTGACGTTAAAGCTGGGCCTGTCAGGCAAACATGTCTGTAGTTACTAGTGTTGTACTCAAGGCCAGTAGAGCCGAGTCAAAACCAAGACTTTTAGTAGTTGGGTTCGAGTCAAGATCTGGAGTTGCTGAGACCAGATTAAGATGATATATAATTTTTTTAAAATAAAAATATAAGCAAATGAAATTAATTTGTAGTTAATTGTACATTCATTATCAGGAATTATACATTATATATACCAATACACAATTTTAATTTATAATTTACTTTGTGTATATATGTGTGTGTGTGTGTGTGTGTGTGTACGTACATATATGAGCTTAAAACATTTATTATTAATTAATTAATGATTAAATACAGATAACATTAGATTTAGTCAAACTTTGCATTGTAACTGGAAGCAGTGGTGAAGTTGCGGTCTGTTCTTTTCTTCTCTAAAACTTATTTGAAATCACCACCTAAGTCAAATGATCATAAACTACATTCATTTTTATTATTTAATGAACACATAGTAATAAAAATGTTCTGTAACTGACTGTTGTAGGGAGAAGTTAATATTACACAGTTACATAAAATCGTGAAAATAGCTAAAAATACAGCAAGAAAAGCCAAAGATGAATTACAGGTAATGATCTTCTATTAACAGAATTGTAAACAATGTAATGAGCAGTGAATTTCTGCAACATTATTATTCTTTTAATGCTAGTAATGTTTTCTGATATGGAGTTTTACCTTAAATGATGCTTGAATGTCTCAGTGGCCTGAGGCACCAGAATGTAACTGCTGCACCATTTAAGGTGGATCGATTGAAAAAGGTGAGAAATTTAAACAAGAAGCTGGCGAATGAGAAGCTTTGTGTGAATCGAGCCATCAAAATGTCTTACATATAGTTTTAAGTAGAGACTCAGCTGGTATCGACAACAGTTTCCAAGTCCATCACGCCCTGAGACCGAGACAGGACAGAGTCCCAATTAGGTCGAGACTGTTAGTTAAGACTGGACTCGAGTATTACAACACTAGTACTTGCATTCGGTGCATTGAGTATTTTGCCATTATGTCTCAGGGCTATAAGCTTATTACTTATGCTGAAATGTGTTTAAGATAAGATAAGATAAGATAAGATAATCCTTTATTAATCCCACAACGGGGAAATTTGCGGTGTTACAGCAGCACAGAAGACAGAGCAGCAGGAAATATACAAACAATATATAAAATAGAATAAACAATAAAAATATAAAGATATATGTATATGTACAAAAATTACAAGAAAAATATACAAAGTATTAAATTTAAATTTAGAAACATTAGACACTTTAGACAATTTAGATACATTAGACACTATGGTGTCTGTGAGCACAAGCCCCTATCAACAATGGCGTATCCGAAGATCTCCCTGCTACTTAGTGCCCACAAAATAATTTTCTGACATCTAGTAACAGCGGTGCCCAGTTTTGTAGCTTAGCAATTTGTACTATTGCCTTGCAGTTGCAGAAGTAGATGCCAACACTTACTGGCGCAACCCTTTCAACAGCCTCTGTAGTCCACGACAGCTGGAGGAGTTCATCGTCATGGATATCGACATCATCAGGAACCAGAAATTAGGAGCAGGAGCTGGTCTGAGGTCCAATCGGGTAAGGAGTAAAGACAGACAAAACATCATCTTAAAAGGGAATTTGACAGATTTTTCCAAATTTCTGTGGACTTAAGATTATTAAGGTTATTATGAGATGCTTATGAATACACTGTCTGTTGTCATTGTTCCATGCTTGTTTTGAGAGATTTTTGATTTATGTTTTTTGGTTGTTTTTTTTCCCCAACATCAACATTCTATATAAAAATACATGTAGGTTCACTGGTGGTTTTGGATAGTAAATAAAATGGCTATATTTGTGTTGTAGTCATTGTGACCCTTGGTTCCCATCACCACCACTGTAAAGAAATTTCTCTGCAATCAACCATTTCACACCAAACCACTCTGAATAAATGTTTGGCTCAATTATTGAATTACGGACATTTTAGAAAATTTGATTTTTTTTTTATTAGAAAACCTCTGAAATGAGACATTAGGGGGAAAAGTAAACGTGTGGTGTTCTGTTCTTTGTGCTGATAAAAATGTGAGATGGAATCAGTATTTCTCAGTTGTGTTTGCTGTTCTTTGTTTTATTGAAACTCCACTGGAAACAGCTTTTGAACAAATGTATGGCTGATCTCACTCTTTTCTGGACCTTCTGAAGTTCTACACTTTACACTTTTGTCTTGATGAAGTATAGAAATTAATATCCCATCTCTTCTGGTTTACAAACTTTCAGTGTTGCATTTTCCCAGTATCTGATTAACAGCATCTGACTAACAGTGTGTATGTGTATGTTCATTTCAACAGCACACTTTGGCTGAGGTGTGGGTTCAGAAAACCTCTGAGATGGCCACCAGTCAGCAGTATCACTGCCGCACCTTCCTGGGCCACCTGCTCAACATCGGAGATCTGGTGCTGGGGTATGAGCTAATCGAACTAATGAGTGTTTTTATAGCAGTGGGTTTCAGTTCCAGTATCTACGGGACCCTGTGCTGCACTCCACAGTGTTCTAGCACTTACACTACAGCTCACTTTGTTGTTAGTCAAGCATGTTGTTACCTTAGGTGGGGTTGTCATTGTGAATTATATTAGTAATCCATGAATTTCTTTGTAATTTTGACAATCACCTAATTAGATTTTAGGCTGTTTTACCTCCCTTCATTCATTTAATTTCCAGAGAAAACAGCCATTATGGTAAAAGTTCTTCATTTTTCAGCATCTGGGGAGAAAAAGCGGATAATGTTTAATAGAAAACCGTACAGAGGCCTTCTTCCTTTCAGACCCATAGCGCTGAGTTGTCTTCTCACAGTGGAAGGATGAACAGAAACACCTGTGGATGTTTTCAGATCTGAAGCAGCTTGATTTTCTCCTCTCTCTCAAAGATGAAAGCATTAAGTGCTGTTTATCTGATGGGGACAGTTCTGGTGATCTGTGAGGTCCTTCACAGTTGTTAGGAGTCCCACTTTCCTTAGTTAATCTAATATCCTCAGAAATGTCTCCTGAAAAATGAATAACTTGTGCTCATGGCTGTTTTGACTGGAAATTAAATAAATGAAGGGTAGTCTTTTATAAGCTGATGAGCTTTTACTCATACCATGAATACGTTTGTGGTCCAGTATGTGTTATATTAATTGAGAATGCTAAAGACGTGTGGTGGATTCTTTTTTTAATGTTTTTTTTTTTTGTTTGTTTTCATATTCAAGCTACGACTTTGCCAATGCTAACATCAATGATGAGTTCCTCAACAAGATGAATCCGCACCATGTTCCTGATGTGGTAAGAGCAGCTTCTAATGCAAGTCATGATCTGCATAATGAAATCATGAACCCAAATCTTACGTTCTACTGCCCCCTAGTGATGTGCTACACTAATCCACTTGTGCAGCTTTTGGTTTAAAAACAGTGGGCCTCATTCATGGGCCCGTTCTTGATTCTGCCATTCACCAGTGTTTTCTTATTTGAGATTTGTTCTTGGGTAAGAACAGAATCTACACACACTCAAGAGCACAAAGGTGCAAACAGTTTTACAGTTTAAGAACACGTCATGAATCTGACTAGAATCAAGAACTAAAGAAAAAAACTTTTTTTTTCTATGTATCATGGAACAGATTGGAGTTCAGTGGTCAGCTTATTTAAAAAAAATAAAATAAAATAACACAAAGGACGCCATGCTTTTAGCACACAAAATACGAAGCAGAATGTATTCAAACAAGCGATAGCACATAAATTGAAAATCCCGGAAACAAATCTGTGAAAGAAAATAAAATCGGTACAAGATGTGAAGCTCAGAAACAGATTTATTAGCAGTGATCAGAAAAGAACAAATTGCTACTCAAATGCAAACTGACACCACACTGGAAGCCATTTAATAAATTGCTCTGTTTGCAAAATTAAATTAATTTATTGCTATTAAATATGCCAACAATAAAACATTATTCTATATCTTCAGTATTCTCCCATTTTTTGTTATTCTGTATCTTCTGTATTCTCCTTTATAAGTCTGGGACTGTTTGATCAGAATAATAATATAAATTCCCTCTGTTTTCAGGTTCTGATTAAGAAGAGCTACGACAGAGCAAAGCGGATAAAGCGCAGGAACTGGAAGTTGAAGGAACTGGACAGAGACAGAGAGGGCATGGACACAGATGATGAGAGGTAAGGAAGCATCAACGGACCAGACGCAGGTTATGGAAAAAGAGGTCACTGGCCGGGTTTCCATCTAGCAGTCGAATAAAAATTTAGCGAAGAAGTGGCAACCTGTGTTTATTAGCTCTGTACAATAGAATAAAACTTTATATCATATTCGTAGTAACACTTCTGAGAAATATGGAGCGATTATACAGAGAAATCTTTAACGCTGAGCGGCTTCTCGCTGCTGTTTTGTTTAATTTTATGACTGTATTTCAGATCAAAAGAGTGCAGAGATCACAGCCCAGGAAAATTGAAGCGGCAGGCACCTTTGTTCTTTTACTTTCTAATGTTACTATATCAATGTCATTATTATTTTTTCTTTGAAAAAGATAAAGGAACGTTTTAAATTCTTTTTCAGTTCTCTGGTACCTGCTGTCTACCATTGCTTCAACTGGGCAAAAACAGAACTGTTTTATTCGCTTTTATGGTGTTTATTTACACACACATTATCAATCATCACATTTCTTTTTTTGGTTAAAAATGTATCTGCCTCAAGCTAGCAAATAAACACCCCCCTCAACACACCTAATTCCCTTACTCAGCTACTGAAAGGCTTGTCAATTAGCTGGTGAGTTGAATCAGGTAAAGGAAGGTAAATTGTAAGTGATGCTGTACAGGGTTTCCTCAGGCATGTAATTCAAATGCTATTCTTCCTTCTATAGCAGTATGTAAGTTTAAATACCTTATCACATTACACAAATCTTAAATAATACTGTTTAACACTATTAAAATATTAACTGAAGTGCAAGTTTGTTCTGGTGAAGGGCTGATTATAGTGCTCAGAGTGGTGGGTGTGTGCTGCAGTGATTTTAAGTGCTTCAACTTAACAAAAATAAAATCCTGACTAATTCAGCTTGTATGTGTTATTTTTAATATGGCTGTAAATATGAAGTTGTAATTAGTGGTGAAGGTGTGTCAATGCTTGAAAAGACTGTTCTGTCTTAAACCTTAAAATTTTCTGAAATAACTTTGTCAAAATTGAAGGAAGTACCATTAATGAGTCAGGGGGGAAAAGGCTAAAATTGGTGTTTTCCCATTTAATAGGCCAGAATAGGTCTAAAAATATGCTGATGGAAACCCAGCTATTGTCACCTTTTATGAGGTTGCACAGCAAGCTTTAAGTTTTTCTGCTCAAATTTAAATTGGGACCCAGTTCTAGACCACTTTAAGTGTAAGTAATTGGATTGCTAATTACACAATCTGTCCTTGTTTGGGTTGTATAATGTTTTTAAAATACATTTTGGTCCATTTTAGGCAGTACCAAGACTTCTTGGAGGATCTTGAAGAGGATGAAGCTTTGAGAAAGAACATCAACATCTTCCGAGGTGAGAAGGCCAGCTACTATTAAAACAATAAGCCTGTGGGAGCCTTGTGATGTAGTGTCTCAAAGGAGTATAGCCAAAGCGCAGGGCAGTTTTATAATGTGGTAGTTTAACATTAAAATAATATTTATTGTTGTCAAACAACATAATGGTTAAAAATATTTCCGCAACTTCTGTCACGTTCAATACCGAACTGAAAAGAAATAGTTTTATATTTTGGACCCTGTTGACCTAACCCTAGTACAGATATGCTCATCATGTCACTTTGCATTTTCAGATGCTGCCAAGATTCCTGTGGAGAGTGACACGGATGAAGAGGGTGCTCCACGGATCTCTCTGGCGGAGATGCTGGAGGAGCTGAGTCTCAGTGATGCCACCGGAGGAGAGGGAGCAGACATGATGACAGATTAGACATCCCTAACTCAAACTGAAAGAAAAAAACAGTAACACTTACTGTAGGGTGACGTTCACAAGGCTATGACACCTGATTAAGCTTGTCATGACATTTGACTTAAACCTACGTAAACATTTATGCAGGCTTAGTTCAGTGGGTAGCAGCAAATGTTAACTGATATTAAGTTGACATGACATCTGTGTCAGATGACATGGATGACGTTGGGCTATCTTGACATAGCATGTTATTACAACTTACTTTGTTGCTTATCACAGTGACAATGCTGATAATGTGACAGCTTATAGATGGTATAAATGGTCAAATAACACTCATGTTATCTAAGGGTTACAGAAAGCGTCACATATTGTGACACACACTGTGCTACAAAGTCATACAAAGTGTCATGACAACGTCAGAAAAAAGCAGTGTCACTTGTCAAATGTCATGTCAACCAAAGAATTGGCAACTGCAACCTTTATGACAAGTGACGCTGATTGGAATAAGTATTTATAAATGTTTAGGTAATTTTGTTTACAAAAGTTTGACAGGTGTCATGAACAGCTTATGTAGGTGCCTCATACCTTGAGAAACCCTGCCCTACAGTGAAGTGTCACTGGAAAACAGAAAACATGCTGCCCTCACAAGCTTTATATCTCAAAATAGCCTGGCTGTTGAGTCACAGTGAGTTTGAATGGTGAATTCAAACCCACTGATGGCTGAGACTTGTCAGTGCGAGTCCTAGGGGAACCCTTCACTGCAGGTTTGTTTTTTTTACCCCTTCAACACACTTAATTCAGCTCAGGAGAAGCTTGAAAATTTAGCTGGTGAGTTGAATCAGATAAACTGATGCAGTAACAGGTTTCCCTTGGGCATGCAATTCGGAAGCAACTCTTCCTTCTACAGAACCGTATGTAGGTTTTAATACCTTTCTATCACTTTACAAAACATCTTAAATAATATAATACTGTTAAAATATAAACGGAATGCCAGTTTATTCTGGTGAAGGACTGATTATAGTGCTCAGAGTGGTGGGTGCGTAATAAAATCCTGACTAATTCAGCTTGTATGTGTTATTTTTATCATGGCTGTGATATGAAGTTGTAATTATTGGTGAATATGTGTGTGTGTGTGTGTGTGTGTGCGTGCTTGAAAGGCCTGTTCTGCTCAAAGCAGCGCTATGAAATGATTTTTTTGTTAAAATTGAAAGAGGTAGCATTACTGAGTTAAGAGGGGGAAAAATTGGCTAAAATATGGTAAAGCCTAGAATAATAATTTCCAAGTCAGAGGCGATGAGTTGGACTTTGCGGGAGTTTTCTGGACCACATCAACACGTCTTTACGTTTCAACGCATCACTCAAAAAGAAGGTCCAGCTCAACCTGGTCTCAGATGCAAAATCACTGTTAAACTGATGAGGATATGATGACAATAGTAGATAATTCACTCATGGTTGGAAGATGTGTCAGTTTTGACCGAGTTCTCTTTTTGAATTCTCTTTAAACACACAGTCGTCAGATTCATCCCCATGGGGAGGCGGTCCGAAGTACAACCCATGTTGCAAAATGTTCTTCTGCACGTTGCTTTTATTTCCACCAGAGAGGTCTCCAAATCCCCAAATTTTACATTGTAGCTAAAAGCAAACGGCTAACTTTCCAATAGTGGCCATAAAATTAATCCTCTTGTTAAAATGGTTGTTTCATATACAAGTATACTTTTCCATACATTCACTGTACATACCAGTTTCCTCATAGTTTAAAAAAATAAAAACTGTATATTTATAAAAGATTTATTGCTCATTAAATCAAACTAACATTGAATTTGTTTCTTATCAACCTCAGTGAGGACAGTGAATGTGTGCTATCATCAGCTTAGTACTGTCAGAAGGCATAAGGTGCTAGGTAAAAGGTATTTTTTTTATTTCTTTATTTCAGAATACCAGTATAGACCATATATGGCCCATTACTGGTTGCCATAAAATACACAAACACAAATTCCAAAATAGCAACCTTACATTCATTCATTCATTCACTCATTCATTCATTCATCTAAACTGCTTATCCTCCTGTTTCATGGGGTGCTGATCATTGGATGGAAGGCAGGAAACACCCTGGAGAGGCCACTAGAGGCCGCAGGGGCAACTTTACAGGAGAGGGCAAAATGTTCTTTACTTTTAATGGAAGTTAATGAAATGAGATTTTGTTCCAAGCGATTTTAGAGTATCTCTATTGATCTATTCAGTATGAAATTTTCACGCAATGTAAGGGGCAGCTGGTGTGTTCAAGTGAAGTAGAAAAATGAAAACCGATAGAAACGAATTTACTTTTTTTTTTTAGATATATTTTTTGCAGTACATATGGATAGGAAACATTTATTACAGATACCTTCAACATTTCAAAAACAGAATATGAGTAATACAGCCCCATAATACAGAGAATCAAGAAAGGTGCGTAAAACAGACCTCTGATAACCACTTGAGTAGTGTCTACAGCAGTCACTCTCGGTCAGGTTCAAGGCCTCAAATGGTCATTAATAAACATTTTCAGTTCTGCTGATTGTGTACGCCTGGACCAACTGTCCTAACACCAAAACCGAGGCACTGGTGACAGTGGTCCAAATTCGAGCGTTCACCTGATGCAATTACATTACAGACATAATCATACAATCAAATGAGAAAGTCTTCTTTTTTTACAACATAAATATGTTAGAATATTAACACCCTTTATTAGAAGTTATTAATTCATGCCAGCTTAAAGAAATCATAAAAATGAGGAATGTGCATTCTGAAGGCCTAAAATAATAATTTACAATACAACAGGTGTTGGGTTGGACTTCGTGGGAGTTTTTTGGACCTCATCAACATATGGAGGACCAGAGGATGACCAACACAAACTGTGCAGCAGCAGATGAGCTATCGTCTCTGACTTTACATCTATAAGGTCGACCAACAAGGTAGGAGTGTCTAATAGAGTGGACAGTGAGTGGACATAGTGTACCAGTGCAACACACATTAACACACCACCACCATGTCAGTGTTACTGCAGTGCTGAGAATGATCCACCACCCAAATAGTATCTGCTCTGTGGGGGTCCGGTAGGGGTCCTGACCACTAAAGAACAGTGTAACAAAGTATGCAGAGAAACAGATGGACTACAGTCTGTAACTGTAGAACTACAAAGTGCTCCTATATAGTAAGTGGAGCTGATAAAATGGACAATGTAGAAACAAGGAGGTGGTTTTAATGTTATGGCTGATCAGTGTATATGCAAAAGTAACGTAATACACAAATAGTGATTTCAGTACTCAATGGAGAGTTAAAACCGTGAATCTTAGTTCAGAAAAAAAAACAGTAACATGTTTAAAAGACAAAAAGAACTGGTGCCCATTCATGTATAGTTCCAAGATATTAGTGATTTAAAGTACAGTCGAACTATCAGTAAAAGTACTTATCACATGATTATTCTTGCTACACTTACAATTTTAAACATTAATGTAAATTTAGATGAACAATATTAATGTGTTCCAAATTCAGTTACGACATAACTGAGCATTTTGCTATGTAATATAATTACCATACAATTACCATCTGGGCTGGGTTCTAATATTCATTTATAATGATAACTATATTCTTCACAGACGTCATGAATCACTGTTAATATCCAGGGGTTCTCAGCACTTGTTTGGTTGGAAAATGTTGCTAAACTGACGTTTGGACAAGATTGACCATTTTGTTCTACATGTACTGAAGTTTTTGTTTAATTCGTTTCATATTCCAAAGTACTGGAATTCGCCAGGCTAAAAATTTACGTTACAGTCCATAAAAATACGGAACTCATAGTATGTGTGTGTAGTTAATTAGTTCTGTTTGTACAGTCTATAATGAACTGCAGTCTCCTTTATTGTATACAGGTGTTTCGGTGCCCCTCATCAAATGATGTTTTGTTGATTTTCTAAGTGAAATATATTTCGATAAAACATTTTAATTATTGTGATACTGAATATAAATAGCCAAGCCCAAGGCTACAGCATATACACAATGTGGCCAAAAGTATGCGGACACCCCTCCTAATTATTGAGTTCTGGTGTTTTAGACATATCTAATTTTAACAGGTGTATAAAATCAAGCACATAGCCATGCAGTCTTTGCTACCAGTCAGTTCATGAAATTTCTGTTAAGTGCTAATATTGTGAAATGTAAACGTTTTAGGAGCGACAACAGCTCAGCGACGACGCGGTAGACCACACAAACTCACACAGCAGGACCTATCGCCTATCCTCTGTTGCATCACTCATCACAGAGTTTCAGGCTGCCTCTGGAAGTAACATCAGCACAAAAACTCTGTGTCAGGAGCTTCATAAAATGGGTTTCCATGAGGCTCCCAAGTGACACAACCGTCTAAGGGTTGGCTCTATCATCAGGAGATCACAAGTTCGATCCCTGGTGATGCTACAGCCGTCCGTGGCCGGGAGTCCGAGAAGGCAGAATTGGCCTCGCTCTCTCTGGGTGGGCAGGATGGCCCACTTTCTCCCATCACTCAGCGCGATGCTAGTCAGCGCAGGCGTCTGTTAGCTGACGTAGCAGATCTAGCAGTTGGCACTTTCCTCAGAGCGCATTAGGCTGTCCAATGACGTTGCATGAGTGGCAGTTCGAAAACACCTGGAGGCCTGGGTCTCAGAGGAAGCCTTTGCTAGCCTTCACCCTCCTAGTGCTGGTAGTATCATGTGATTGGGCGAGTCCTAACTAGTGGGTGGAATTAGATATGACTAAATTGGGGAAAAATCCCCCAAAAAAAGGGTTTCCATGGCCGAGCAGCTGCATACAAGCCTAAGATCACTATGCACAATGCCAAGCGTCGACTGCCGTGGTGTAAAGCATGGCTTTTTGGACAAATTATATGCTTCCAACATTGTGGCAGAAGTTTGGGGAAGGCCCTTTCCTGTTCCATGGTTTTGTGTGGAGGAACTCTGGTGACCTGCACAGACCCCTTACCTCAACCTCACTGAACATTTCTGAGATGAACTGAAGAGGTGATTGTGAGCTGGGCCTTCCTGTCCAGCATCAGTGCCTGACCCCACTAATGCTCTTTTGACTGAATAGGTGCAAATTCCCACAGACACACTCCAAAATCTCGTGGAAAGCCTTGTGGAACAGTGAAGGCTGTTACTGCCACAAAAGTGGAGACAACCCCATATTAATGCCCATGGTTTTGGAATGAGATGTCCAGCAAGCTTAAACAAGTGTGATGGTCAAGCGTCCACATACGAAAGATGAACTGGCACTTTTGACGCTGAGTATTCTACAGCGCAAGTTGGCCTAACAAAATTTACGTATCAACAGCTTCTGCTTCCCGCTTAGCACATTTATGTTTCTTTACAGTATCTGAATGCCTGAAGCTCCGCCCACAGTCCGAGCAGAAATACGGCTTCTCTCCTGTGTGAATGCGCTGGTGTCTTTTCAGGTTTCCTCTGTCGCTGAAACACACTCCACACTCTGAGCAGTAATACGGTTTCTCTCCTGTGTGGACGCGCTGATGCGCTCTGAGATTACGCTTGTCACTAAACCAGGTTCCACAGTATGAGCAGTAATACGGTTTCTCTCCTGTGTGAATGCGGCGATGGATTACAAGAGTACGCCGGTCAGTAAAACTCTTCCCACAGTCTGAGCAGTCGAAGGGCTTCTCTCCCGTGTGGATGCGCTGGTGCGTCTGGAGATTATTCATAACAGTAAAACTCTTCCCGCACTCCGAGCAGCGATACGGTTTCTCTCCAGTGTGAATGCGCTGGTGTCGCCGGAGATGATTCTGTAGTTTGAAACTCTTCCCGCATTCTGAGCAGGGAAACGGTTTCTCTCCCGTGTGAATGCGCTGGTGTCCTTTAAGATGAGTCCGCCGAGTAAAGCTCTTCCCGCACTCTGAGCAGTAATACGGCTTCTCTCCTGTGTGAACGCGCTGGTGTAGTTTGAGGCTGCCAAACCTCGAAAAACTCTTTCCGCACTCCGAGCAGTAGGGAATTCTCTCCTTGCCTGGGTGTTTCTGCGTTCGTCCGTGAGATGCGTTAGTGTGGA